TGGGGAACAGTGGAACTGAGGATACACAGGGCGCCGGCAGATCACACAGGGTTTGTTTTCCTGCTAATCGTCATAGGTGCAACTTTTTTCAGAGGGGTAGCCGTGTTAGTCTGTATCTGCAAAAACAACCAGGAGTCCTTGTGGCACCTCAGAGACTAACACATTTATTTGGGCATAAGCCTTCGTGGGCTAAAACCCACTTCCTTATGCCCAAATAAATGTGTTAGTCTCTAAGGTGCCACAAGGACGCCTCGTTGTTTCTGTCCATCTAGTCCAGTCGTGTGTCTGACGAAGTGGGTATTCACCCACGAAAGCTTACGCTCCAATACGTCTGTTAGTCTATACGGTGCCACAGGACGCTTTGTCGCTTTTTACAGATCCAGACTAACACGGCTACCCCTCTGATACATCTAGTCCAGGGTGTCCCTACAGCTCCCGTTAGTTCAAAACGGGTCTGTTCAGCCGTGACTCTGACGTTCCCCGCCCTGTGTTGAGGCAGGGCTCCACCCGAGCGACGGAAAGTCCCGCTGTAACCCCAACTTCCCGCTGGCCTCCAGCTTTTACTGGTGCCGAGGCATCTTGAGCTGTCTGGAGGGCAGGCCGCAGAGCCGCTGGGAAGAATGCCCGAGCGCCGGATAGTTTTGCAATGCTGCCGTGCGCGGCTGCACAAACTGTTTGCACGCCGCTCACCCGCTTGAGCCAATGCCACCAGCCTGATCGAACGTGGCTGGAGCTGGATCAGCTGGGGCTGTTTTGGTAGCCATGACAACGGTGTGGGTGTGTGCAGAGAGAGGGTTGCAGAAGATCTAAAACAATTACCACAGAGGAGAAATCTACCAGAGAAATCTACTAGATCCCTCTTGCTCAGAGCTTTACTTGACTAGCATGAGGTGTGCGAGTTAACCCTTTCCCTCCCAGCAGATCATTTATATCAGGGGTTCTCAACCTTTGTCCTTCTGAGTCCCCCCCTCCCCCCCCCCCCCCATGCTATAAAACTTCCACAGCCCACCCATGCCACAACACCTGTTTTTCAGTAGATTAAAAGCCAGGGACGGTGTGAAGGGGTAACAAGCAGAGCAACCGCCCAGGGCCTCGTGCTACAGGGGCCCCCGTGAAGCTGAATTGCCCAGGCTTCAGCTTCTGCCCTTGGAGGAAAGGCTCAGGATTCAGATTCAATCCCGAGCAGCGGGGCTCGGGATTTGGCTTTCTGCCCTGGGCCCCAGTGAGTCTAATGCTGGCCCTGCTCTCTGGTTTATTTTGGAAAAACCCCTGAAACCTGCTCATGGCCCCCCGGACCCCGGGTTGAGAATCACTGATGTATATGACTCAATATACAAGTACACCGCTACCTCGATATAACGCGACCCGATATAACATGAATTTGCATATAACGCGGTAAAGCAGTGCTCCGGGGGGGCGGGGCTCCGCACTCCGATGGATTAAAGCAAGTTCGATATAACGCGGTTTCACCTATAACGCGGTAAGATTTTTTGGCTCCCGAGGACAGCGTTCTATTGGGGTAGAGGTGTATTGCCAATGTTAAGAACAGGACAATCGGGTATCTGCCCAGGACAGGGCTTCACAGCAGCCATCAGTGCCTGTAGAGAGGCAATATGGTCCAATGCCGTGGTTCTCAAATGTATCTGATTGCACCCCCACTTCTTTGTATCTGGAGTAGTTTACATCCCCCCCACCTCCCCGCCACACAAGTGCATTTACCGATATATGCAGCAGCGCTGCTTCACTTGCATCAGTTTCAGCTTCGTTGTTTTTCACTTCAGTTGTTGGGGTTTATTTTTTAACCAAACAAACCATTGTAATAAGAGCAAAAGCAAAACTGTGAT